AAATAATCTAAAATTCATAGTTTTTCCATTATTAAAGAATAGATAAAGTGTGACTATATTATTGGCAATCTCAATCCCATGACTAATACTTTCTTCGTTCTTTAATAGTTGTAGCACTTTGAATTTGAAATTATTTAGTTGCTAACTTGCTAATTAGTTATTAATCTGACTTCTCGATTGAATTGTAAGATGAAATTTGGTGGACGTAATCTAGACTTCTTGAAGAACATGCTCACAAACTTTTATCAAGCAATTCCACCGGCAAGCACCTCAAACGGAGGCAGTCGAACGGCGGATCCTGTTAGCCCGGCCTGACTGGATCGTTCCTTTCTCTCTCTCTCTCTCTAAAGTAGAAGATAGTTTGTATTATTTAAAGTTATATCCGAAATATGTGTCATTCTTGGTTGCGCTCATCGAAGATAGTTTGTATTATTTAAAGTTATTTTCCATGCATGTGTGTGTGAATAAGTGAATTACATGTCTAAAAGATCCTACACCTGTAAAACGTGGACTATTAAACTAAGGGAAAAGGGACAGATAAGCCCTCTAACTAATTAAAAAAGTACAAATAAGTCCTTACATATGAGGTTCTGTCCGGACGTCGTCTTTTGGGGAGGTTTCCGGTGGAATTTTTTGATGAAACTTTTTGAGAATCTTCTTCATTAAGTCTAGTTTATCCATACCAAATTTCAGCTAAAAATTCAATCGGGAAGGCAGTCAAATGAATTTTTGAAGATAATTGTGCAGTTAAACAGCACAGTATATTTCAGAAAATTATTTGACTGCCTCCCCGGTTGTGTTTTTAGCTGAAATTTGGTATGACCAAACTAGATTTAATGGACCAGATGCTCGAAAAATTTCATCAAAAAATTTCACCGGGAACCTCCCCAAATGACGACAGCCGGACAGAGCCTCCTATATAAGGGCTTATTTGCATTTTTTTGGTTAGTTCGAGGGCTTATTTGCCCCTTTTCCCATTAAACTAATATGATGTTGAGCTACTCCTCCATGATCCTATCTGGTTGACCTTTTACGATGAAATCACGAGTACAAAAATGAAAAAACACTGACAATTATAGGGAACTAGTGAAAAAATAAACGAATAATGATACGTTTTAGACGAACTTCCTAATTGTGTGCGGGGGTGTTGAAAAAATCTCTACACCGGTGACATTATTATTATTATTACTAGTATTAAATTACGTTATAAAATTCTAGATGAGTCTTTTTATTAGATTGAGTTTTTAGAATGAAATTTTTAACGTGATTCACATATTTTCACAAGACACAATTATTTTTTATCCGCACCCACTCAAATATAATACGTTAACAACTATTGCCAACATTTACACAAAATAAAAAATTGTTTGTATACACTTCATTTTTACTCATCAGTATATCATGTTCAGACACAAATCATAATCACGTTGTGAACATATTTTGTCTGTGAACATGGTATTCACAGACAAAAAATAGCATGTTGACCGATAAATGTAATGTTCAGTATAAAAAGTGTTTATAAGAAGAATTTGTTGCACAAAATTCCTACCTGAGTGGCTACCGCTACTATGTTCTGAACTCAATGGGTTGTAAATTATCTTAACTTGTTTTTCACTTGTATGAAGAATGTTTATGATCTTTATATTGGCCATAAGTCAATCCGATTGACTAATAAGTTATGTACTTAAATTGTTGTGAATTGTGATCATAGGCTAAGGGGTCATGATAAGCCTCCATTAACCCCAAAATTAAAAACATGTTTAAATATCAGAATAAATTATATAAATTTTTAAAAAAAAAAATCCTCGCTTGTTCTCCGACTACACCACTAGTTGCAATTTCACTTGTTCTAGTGTCATATTAGCTTTCACGACCTTTAATATTTATTGATGGGAATTCAATTTTCTAAATTATTAAGATTTTTAAAGCAAGAAAATATTAAGATTATTGAATAGAATAAATAAAATGTAATGTTTTTCCTCACTATATTACTTTAGTAAAGTTGATTTTATAAAAAACGACTACTTTTACATATTGACAAAATTGTGACTAACACTAATTCCGAAAAACATAATATAATTGTCAGATTTTATGTCACTACCAATGCCAGTGCCGCCGTGAAACATGTCACTACGGATGCTAGAAAATTTTGTTGGCACCTTTTCCCAGCTAAAATTAAAAAAAGTTGAATAGAATTCTGGAGAAATTTTCCGGCAACCAGCAGCAACCACTGGCAGTTTCTGCCATAGGAGGCGGTGAGACAGAGAGTGGGGCAGCGGCGACCATCGCTAACCACCGGATGTTTTTACTGGAGGGGGTAGTGAGACAGGGGTGGGTAGTTGGATATGAATTAGAATTAAAAGCAAAATATGACAATTAATTGTAAAAGTGTAGAGATAATATTTTTTCCATTTTCTATAAACTATTTCTAATAATTGATGATGTTTTAAAATACTAAACAATATAATTGTTTTTTAACTTCACAACATTTGGTGTGATTGTGTGAATCCTCTAAAAACTTTAGATTGTGAATAATGTAAAATTCAACATATTGCAACTAAAAAAGAATGGAAGTAGTATTCAACTATTAAAGAAAGCACAAATTTTGAAATGATTAAACGTTTTGGAATTTGAAAACAAGACTGACATATTTTTTATTGCCTAAATAAGAGTAATTGCTACCTGATGGTACCATGGACTCGGACCATGACCCAATTACATAATTCAGCCCATAACGGGATCGGCCCTTAACGGGGTTAGCCTAATTAACAGGATTAGCCCATAACGGGATCAGCCCTTAACGGGATTAGCCTAATTAACAGGATTAGCCCATAAACGGGATCAAGCTCATAAACGGGATTAGGCCCACGATAGGAACCCACAGCCAGGCCGGGCTGTACAACAGACCTCGAGCCTGGGCGGAGTTCTAGTGAGGCCGGGATATTCCCCGGGTTACGTGGCAGGCAGTTATTCGACATAGCTATTTGGCAACAAGCATGACTCATCCGGAGTTTGGAAACAAGGAGACAATTAATGCTTGACGACCAAGGCATGAGAGGAGTTCTATTTCGAGCAAGAATATAGTTCATTAATTAGCATTTATTGTATAAGATTCCTCCTAAAATAATAACTCTCAAAGTCTATAAATACTTCTTGTAAACACCCTACCAAGGGAAGGCCGGTTCATCCTTCGGAATAAGAGTATACTGCCTTACGCTGCCATATTCTTTCATATTTTTCGTACGTTCTCATACCTTTTGGTAGATTTAGCTCTCGTAGTTGGATTAAACTCATCACTACCAAACTTGGAAAACACTCTCATATTTAAAGTCTAATAATGCCAAAATATGACAATAATTACTCTTACAGTCTTATTTAGAAAATAAAATATGACAATTCTATTTTAGTCCCATTTGGGACAATTGTTTTTAAGAGTTTTCTCAGAATAAAAGTAAAACGTTAGCAAAATGTAAAAATGGAACTAATTATGTTTTATTCACAAAACATGCCTTATTCAGTTCTATTAAAGGAGTAAGAGATAAAACAAAGTTCCTTAAATATGATTATACGAGTGCATGAGTCATATTTGGAGAAGAAAATAATGTGACTTCTATTTGAGAAAATTTGCAATCTTATAGTCATATTTAGCGTTTTTTCTTGAGAAATTGTTCTAAGTAAGACTAAAACATGGTTAAAGTAAATAAATTGTTCTAAGTAAGACTAAGAGTAATATACATGCCATTTTTTCTAAATAGAAGTCCATCTTTTATATTCCCTAGATACGATTAAATATTAAATTGCTACCCTAAATATAATTAATTTTCCCTTAGTCCCCCAGCATAACCAGGACAGTCCGTCGGCGGAGGCAGACCCCGTTCACCAAGCTTGAACCCCTAGATACAAAGGTATTTAAGTATTTTGTCCAATCACAAATTTTTACTCCTATTTAGAGAATTTCAAACATGGACTCATATATTTGCACTTTGAGTAAGGTTTACTCCTACTTTAGGAATTCGTTAAATGAAGAATTGATGACTAGAAGTACATTTAAAAATAAGAGTATGTAACTATGTTTTATTCTCATAATAATAGTTATTTAATTTAAAATTTCTCAAATTAGGATGAGCGGTGTTCTAAAAGGCGCTAGGCACTAATCGGACGCTAGCGCAACTCCTAGGCGGGCGGCTAGGCTAAGTAATAGTGTATTTGTGTGTGTCTAAGTGTCTATACACACAAATTAACAGGCATGAGTGACGGAATTGCCGCATTTAATAAGATACAAAGTATTATAAGTTTATTATTGATGGCTTAATCCTTTCCACCGTATTAAAAAAACAATTGATGGCCTAATTTTATTATAATCTAAGTATGAAATAATGATGATTTAATATATACAAACATATAAAGTTTTTATCTTAATCTACAAGTAACTTTCTTCATATGTATGGCTAAAATTAAAGGGACATATCATATATCTATTAGAGAAAAAGCAAAAAACATATTCGACAACTATCAAGACGCCCTAAGTGGCCGATTAGGCGCTCTATACGGGCAAGCAGGTGCACTAGGCGGCCGACTAATTCATCTAGGGACTAAACCAATTAATCGGGACACCTAGACTAAATTCGGGGCTCCCTAGCACCGCCTAGCACCTACGCGGAGGCTAGTCGGGCGCTTGGAGCGATTTTTAGAACAATGGGAATGATTGAGTCTTCTTTTAAGAAAAATAACTATTTTCTATTTGTGCAATTTATTTGTATTTTAATTGGAGTTTAGGAGTTTTTTGTTAAAACAAATCTTATAAGATTTCCGCATATAAATATTTTTATATGTACACAAATAGTCCAAGTGTTTTTAAAAATTGTATTAATTGAAAAGTAATGCCAATGCCATATTAAACCTCAAGCTTCCCTTCAACTAAATTTTCTCATATCCATGCACTTCTCCCTCACCAGTTAATTCTATGTGGAATAGCGGAAGAGACAAAAGATTCAAAGAGAGAGAAAGCAAAAATTGCACGAATATTTTGATGCAATTTCTGTCTCCTCCACCCAATGTTTAGATCATCCATTGTTTACATTTTGACGAAGAATGGAGCGTAAGAGAACTCTGAAGTTGAGCTGGGATGATCTTGGGGGTGGCGAAGACGATGATCAATTCTTTGATCCTCGTGACCGGCTTTCCTGCGCTGTTCCTCTCGACTTGACCACATTGGGTTCAGATGACAGCGAGGATGAGTTCGAAGATAGTCGCCTCTCCTTATCTTCATCATGCCTTGATGGAATGGAGGATAATAGTAATGATAATAATGAAGCCTCAGAATCTTCATCTATCTCCATGGGAGATTATGGAATGTGGATGGCAGATCCCGGCGACATCAAGGAGCGGCGCAAACGTCTTCTCCAAGGTATGGGTTTGACAAGCAACAAGGATCTCCTCGTCAAGGTCGCAAGTTCTAAGATTGTGAGAGCGATTTCAAGAAAGCCTTCCCATCTCCATCCCCCGAAGAAAGATTCCTCTTCGTCAAAACCGAAACCCCCGACCAAAGATACACATAATCAAGAAACAGACCCCGACCCCGCTTCTTTCGCAGTTTCTCCCCGAGCAGAGGAGAAACTGGCAGCAGAAGTGGGGGCAGAGTATACACATGCAATGCCCGTCGTTCTGGTCCGGTCAAGATCCGATGGCGATATAGACTCCTTCGCCGCTGAAACAAAAAGAAGGAAAGAAGACATAATCGGTCCAGTATCCAAACAACGGCTAACAAGAACATTATCAGGGTTGACATCATCTAGAACCGGTGGAATGGGCCAGATCGCCGGTCCGATCATAGTCACACAACCCAAGAAATGGAAAAGAACTAGAAGACAGACGATACAAAATAGCATGGCCGACGAATGCATTGGTTCGTTCTTCTTGATAAAGAATCTTGACACAGGGAAAGAGTTCATTGTGAAAGAGTGTAATGAAAATGGGATGTGGAATAAGTTAAGTGATCTCCAAACCGGGAAGCAACTCACCATGGAGGAATTCGAGAAGCATGTTGGACACTCCCAGATGGTTAAAGAATTGATGCATCGTGCACATGGAGGGAGAAGAAGCGATAGTAAGATCAACATGAATTCTTATATTAGCAAGAGCTTCAGGTACATGGAAATTTCACGACTAAGACTAAAACATAATAGGTGCTTTTAAATATGAGTACTAATACTTCTAAATTGGATTATATATGTTTCCCCACCTAAATATATAAGAGTAAGTATAGTCATCATCAAACCTGACTTAGAAATTAAATAAGATACTGGAATGGTGTTACCTTATTATTAGTGCTTGACAATGCCATTGTATTGCACTAAACTTTGCTCTTATTTAGAGAAATTAAAAAACAACTTAGGCTTCTTCATGTGATGATTTTAGGAATAAAGACATGTTAATCATATATAGTTAGAGAAAGTAATTATGTTTTAGTCATTTTGAAGTGATTATTTGTCAGGTATAGCAAGAAAACAAGTGTTGCTCTTATGAGGAACATTAAGGGCGTAGCGAATTCGATGAGTAGTTTCAAGATCTCAGAGAAAGAACGAGACAACCTCTCGTTACAAGGGGATGATCAGAAACATAAGAAGAAGAATAGCTCTTCTTCTTCTTCTTCTTCTTCTTCAGAGTGGATCAAAGTCCAGCAGCAAGGGAAAACCTATAAGGAATTCACTGGTTTGCAGTTATGTCAAGAAATTCAGGCACATGACGGTTCAATATGGGCCATAAAATTTAGTCAAGATGCACGTTACTTAGCAAGTGCGGGAGAAGACAGAGTGATTAACGTATGGGAAATGCAAGACGTGGAGGTTATTAGAGCATCATCATCAGAAGAACGTGGAAGCACCACGCCTCTTCACCCATCACTTGTGGGCAACCTGCAGAAGGCGGGTAAGAGTTCATCAACTAAAAAGAAAGATTGTGTGATTCCTGATTATGTGAACATGCCTGAGACTGTGTTTGCTTTCTCGGAGAAACCTGTTTCTACTCTCACTGGCCATCAAGATGAAGTACTCGACCTCTCATGGTCAAAATCTCAGGTCAGTATCCTAATTGTCATTTACACCGAAATGTACTATTTACCGAGGACTATTTCATGTGTCAGGCAACCTTTCTGGCACGCTTTATGCCGTAAATTGTACATTTTGATTGAAAAATGTTGAAAGTGGACAAACTTATTACGTAGAGAATATGACTTACATGTAGAGTAACGAGGTTAATATTATACGGAGTATATATAGATAAAAAGTGTAAGACTAAACCGCAAATCTCCAAATCTCAGTATTGAAGATTTTGTTTTTCTTTTCTCGCAGCTTCTGCTTTCGTCTTCGATGGATAAAACTGTGAGGCTTTGGGACATCGAAACTCAGAGTTGTCTGAAAATGTTTGCACACAATGATTATGGTGAGAAGCACGAAAAAAGACATTGTAAAAAACAAAAATTCATCAAAAAGTTAGATATTGTGTGTGACAAGTGGTGCGGTTGGATGCAGTAACATGCATACAATTCAATCCAGTAGATGATGACTACTTTGTCAGTGGTTCACTGGATGCTAAGGTTCGGATATGGAATGTGCCTGGGAGGAGAGTTGTGGATTGGACTGATCAAAAAGATATGGTCACTGCCACTTCCTATACCCCTGATGGTGAGGTAATTATGTTACAAAAAATCTATTGGTACACATTTTTCATACACACACCTATACACTCATGTTTGTGAAGAGTATTTGTTTGTCTGTATACAAACATAACGTGTTTGAAAATGTGCTATGTCTGTATACAGACAAAAAAATACTCTTCACAAACGTGTGTAGGGGTGTGTATGAAAATGTGTACCTCAAGCTGGATTGATTATGTTACTAGTAACAATAAAGATAAGAGTGTATTTTTACTACATTTCTTTGGGACATTCTTATTTATTGGATATTGGATGGTCAAAATTTGGATGACTTTTCATCATTTCGAGTTTTTTGTTATCTAAATAAGAGTAATTACTGATACTACCTCCGTCACAGTGGACTTTGCCAAGTTCAAAGTAGGTGAGAATTAAGAAAAGTAAAAATTATGTAGTTGAGATTTGTGTAGAGGAGAGAAAATTGAGCAGAACCACATAGTTACTTTAATAGGAAAGTGACAAAGTTTTGTGGGACAACAAAAAAGGGAAAGTTGACAAAGTCCAATGAGACAGAGGGAGTATGTTTTAACATTACCAGACTTGAAACATGACAGTATTTTGCACCATTAGATTATACATAGTATAAGAATGCTCTTGTTCATCCATTAAACCTTCACTCCTTTTTTAGAAAAAAAAAAGTAAGAAATAATTACTTATATATGATAATATAAAGATTATTTACAAAATTGTGACTAGTTACTAGAGAGGTAATGAAATAATAGTAACTTATGTTCAATTTTAAACTTAAGTTACCATGATACTACATTGTAGTAACTGTTAGTCATATATGTGTAAATATGTTTTATTTTAGTAATAGTTTTGAAAAAAAATCCTAAACCTATTTAGAGAAACACCTACTTTCCTCGCTCTTTTTTAGTTGCAGCATTCACATTTACATGTTTGCCAAAACACAATTTGGTTGCATTATTTTTAATTCTCTATTAGTAAAAAGTAATTAAAAATAAGATTATGAAATTTATAATGAGACAAATTTAACAATATAAAAAAAAAGATTATTCTCTCACATCAATATTAGAACATGTGAATAGTTTAAAATGTTCCATGTTACAACTAAGAAGAAATGGACAATAGTATATTGCAAGAGAAACTATCTAAGTAAAAAATGAAGTAATATAAAACTTGTTCTGATCTTTTCTGATTTTCTGTTTTGTATACGGAAGGGTGTTATCATTGGTCTTCAAAAAGGGAGTTGTCGACTGTATAGAATCACTGGTAAGAATATGTTTCTCATATTTGTATGCATGTAATTAATATACCTTTGCCACACAAAAATATTACTTCAGCTCTTAACATTTGATACATAGATTGCAAACTAGAACAGGAAGAGCAATTCGATGTTGATCCAAAGAAGAAATCCCAAAATAAAAAGATCACTGGTTTTCAGGTATTCCTTTTTTTTTTTTTAATATTTGGGAACAGTTGCATAAAAGCTTTTGTAATACGAGGCTTCCCTAGAATATTACTCACAATAATTATGAATAAATTGTGATAAAAGTTATTGTGTGGCTATGTGCATAACTTTACGATCGCTATGATATAAAATTAAACATAATAATAATCATATAAAGTTACAAATATATTCACTTTGTATACGAGATCATATTTTTTGTGCATGCCTTATATTTTAGGCATATACATGTCATTATTTTTTGTAATTAACCCAGTAGAAAACTGAGATTCATTTGTTTACAGTTTTCCGAATCAAATCCTTCAGAACTGCTCATCACCTCTGCAGATTCTTATATTCGGATCCATGATGGAACAAACTTCACCCAAAGATTCAAAGGTACAAAAATTCTGTATATTTAGAGATTTAGAGTTCCAGTATAAAAGGTCTGCCATATAAGAGCTAGAAGTTTTCATGTCTTTTTGTTGCAAACAGAGTAATATATTGTTATAATAAAGATGTTGGATAAAAATGTGACTTTTTATGTACACCTACAGTAGTAGTGACTTTTGTTGACTGTGAACTTTACCATAATGCTATACGATAATAACTTTAGTCACATTTTAGTCAACTTTTTTGTTTCAATAAATTTTATGAAAACATCTAAGTTCATTATATAGTGGAAGTGAAACATATTGTTCATACAGTAAAAAATAAAATTTATACAAAATTACATTGAATTATACTCCGTCCCCTTTTAAATGTCCACTTTTATCATATTGGGATGTGTCTATTTAATTGTCCCATACTTTATTTGGTTAAGTTTGTGTGTCTCAAAATCATTCTTACTTTATTCTTACTTTATCAATTAATTTCAACCACACAAACCCACTTTTCTTAAAACTCGTACCACTCTCTTCCGTCCCAATATAAAAGGGACGGAGGTAGTACTTAATAGGAAGAAGTAGAGCATATTCTTTTCTCTAAATATGAGTGAAGTACTATCATCATTAAATTAGTGTCATATTATGATAATATCTGAATGACATAATGATCTCAATGACAGTATGATCAGGATATTAATACTTTTTTCCTATATAGACAAAAATAATACCCTACACCGAAAAAACACCTATATTTACTCAACTTCCATTCAGAAATATCTCCCAAATTTATATTGAGGATTCATGATCATTTGCATGGAACAGGTGCCAAAATCACAAGCAGTCAAATTTCAGCTTCATTCAGTCAAGATGGAAAATATGTGATATGTGCAAGTGAAGATTCCCAAGTATACGTGTGGAAAAGAGAAGAAGTAAAAGGTGGCGTAGGAGGAAAAGGAAGATTTCTTACAATCCAAGCTCATGAGCACTTTTCATGCAAAGATGTTTCAGTTGCCATCTCATGGCCTGGCAGGGCAATAAAGAATAATAATGAATCATTTGTAGAGATGGGTGGTTCCAAGAGGCATCAATCAAACCCCTCCTCGCTTCCACCTCTATATCCGACAAGCAAGAAGAACAACTTGCCTTCTATACCTAATAAGAAAAATGATGCAGTGCTAGAAACAGTTTCAAGTAATCATCATCATCTAACAGAAGAAGTAGATGAAGATGAATCTTGTTCCGATCAACCTTCAGATGTAGATTCGTCTTCTATTTCTACTTCTTGCAATGAATCATCTTCTTCTCAATCTCGGCGGTTTTCCTCCTGCTCATTGAATCTTTCCGAAGAAAGTGGCCACACCCAACAAGGAGGAGGCGGAGGAGGTAGTAACGCTCTTGTCCAAGCAACAGCATGGGGTATGGTGATTGTGACAGCAAGTTCTGGGGGAGAGATAAGAGTGTATCAGAATTTTGGGTTACCTGTTAAGGCTAATCGGCAAACCAGTCTCTTTATTACATAGTACATGTAAAATCATGCAATGTTGGATGCATTTTGTTTTAGCACAAACATGTTTTCATTGCATAACTTGGTTAAGAAAGATATGAAAACATTGTGCTAGCTAGTTTCTTGTAGGTAAGGCGTGCCAATTAATGTTTGACTTTAATACGATAATGATTCCTAATCTACTATTTATTTGGTATAAATGATTCTAGATAACACTAAAATATACACTATGTTGAGTTTAATCCAACACGATATAATAAATATATATATAATTTGGTATGAACACTCGATCTTTATGTGGAAACCCAAAAGGGAGAAAACCACGGGACTTTTTAGGCTAATGTCCAAGCCCTCTCTTTCTCATTAGACTCTCCTCATCATTACATAGTACAAATCTTGAGCTTCCATTAATGGAGTTACTTGAGCTAGTCTAGAGAGAAGAAATAAGTTGAGGAAGAAGAGAAGGATCCCTAATAAGTAGGGAAAGCCCCATTGATAGAGTATATGGGCCTGGACCCCATGGCCCACATACTCAAGTCAACAATGACCAGAACAACACCCACGTGGCCCCCTTCGGCCAGTGGGTCCGCATCGGCCAGAAACCAAACCGGCTCAGGAAGCACGCATGGACTTCCAGGACCGCATCGGCCCATGGACCGCATCGGCCATGGGACCGCATCGGCCATGGGACCGCATCGGCCAAAAGTGTACCGCATCGGCCAGGCCTCGTCCTAGCAGAATGCATCTCTCTACTTTATTTGCTAAGTATTGTACTCGGCCCATTAGTGGCCCTATTTCGCCCAAAGAGGGCATGATTATTGTAATGGGCCTCCTAAGCCCATGGCTAGGAGCCCAAATCCATATTTTTACCTATAAATAGACCCCTTGGGGCTAGTTGTAGGGGGTTGAGAAATATAATTACTCACTTTCTCTCTCTAGCTCTCGCTTCTCTCTAGAATTAATACTCTATCATTTGGTGCTTTCATTGAGAGCTTAGAACAGATCAAGTGAGTACCCCTCGTCGCTACTAGACGCAATAGAATGACAAGAACTAGGTCAAAGAACACCGGTAGGAACGCCCCTCTGAACCAGGAAGGGCAGGGAAACGTTGCTGACAACGTCCCCAATGACTTCATCAACCAGGATGAGAACGCTCAGGAGATCGAGCACGCGACGGCTGACCTTCGCGTCCAGCTCAACAAGACCGCCCCAGACGCCCGCATCGGGCTCGAGGACAGGCGCAATGCTGATCGCGCTTCAGGCCAGCAGGCCTCTAACCCTGCTGCTCCCCAGATCAACCCGGCCGCACTATCGGCCATTGTTGCGAGCATCCTTCAGGACCCCAACGTGGTCAGCGCTCTCGTCGCAAAGACAGGGGAGAACAACACTCCGGCAACTGGAGAGGTCGCAACGGTGCCACCACCGCCACCTCGTCCGCAAGGCGTCACCTTCTTCGGTGACAACGAGAACGTCCTCGCCGTGGACACCCATTCCCACACTGCCTCACCTACCCGGGATACACCGGCCCAACCTCGCGGTAAAATCTCAGCCTTCAACAGGCTGGGTGACATCGCGAGCCGTCGGGTACCTACGGGAGGGGTGGCGGGTCGGTTGGGTGGCCGCGAGCCGGGGTCGCCAAAGGAAAGCTTCGGGTCCGTCTCCCGGACAACGGATCGGCCCCGACAAGACAAAGGAAAGGGAAAACTGAATGATGATGATGCGCGTCATCAGATCAACCTGGCCCACGCGGCCCGGATCCAGACCCCGCTGGGTGGCGCTGCGGCCAACACGGACCCGAGGGACGAGATCATCGCCCGCCTGGAGAAGCGCCTCGCAGATATGGAGGCCCGAGAGGCCGCAGGGCGCGCATCGGCCCACATATCCCAGCATCCCAACTACGACGCGCTCCTGAACAAAGTCAGTGCTCTGGAAAGGGAATTGGCTGACCGGCGCGATGAGCCCGTCATCCAGATACGGACCAAAACCCCCTTCTCTGGGAGGGTCCTCTCCGCTCCCATCCCGGAGAAGTATAAGGGGAACCCGATCAAGCCATATGACGGCCGCACTGATCCCCAGGAGCACTTCACCCGTTATCAGAACAATATGATGATGACCAACGCTTCGGAGGAGTACATGTGTCGCTGGTTCCTATCCACCTTGGAAGGACCAGCGTACGATTGGTTCAACAACCTTCCGGAGGGGAGCATCGACTCATGGCAGGACCTTGCTCAACGCTTCCTCACCCACTTTGCCGGGAGGAAGCGCGCGAAGAAGCATTTCGCTCATCTCCTGACCATCAAGCAACAGCCGGAGGAGACGCTCCGAGCCTTCCTCGATCGCTGGACGAGGGAGGCAGACGAATGCGAAGGAGCCGATGAGCGCACCCTCCTGGCCTTCCTACGCGGAGCACTCAGGCCTAGCCACTTCGCCCGGAGCCTGTTCACGGAGCCGCCGCGGTCATACCTCGCGGCGCTCCGACGCGGAGATAGGCACGCTGATGCCGACGAGCTCCTGAACCAGAAGAAGGGTGGGGAGAAGCAACAAAAGAAGGACTCCTCGTCCAACCCCCACCACCCGCCGGCCAACAAGGGACAGCACCAGCCAAAGAAGGCACACCAGGAGCAAGCCGGACAGCGAAGAGAGGACCGCTCATGGCGCCCAAAGTTGGAGGCACAGCGCATCCCCCTCACCCACCCGGTGAGCGTCGTCCTCGACCACGCCGAGGCGCAGGGCCTCATTGTGAAGGACCCCAGGTCAGAAGAGGAGATATTTGCGGTCCACAAGGGAGGGATGTATTGCAAGTACCACCGCCAGACATCCCACAAGACCGAAGACTGCACCACCCTGAAGAGGCACATCGACGGCCTCATCCGACAGGGGGAACTTTCCCAATTTGTCAAGGGTGCCCCCAAGAGTAACACTTGGGTTAACCCTGGCAAAAGGGGGGAAGGATCCTCCGGGAAAAAGAGGGAGATCGGCGCCCTCAGTGAAGATGAGGACGAAGAGGAGCCCCGCCAGAAGAAGCATCACATTCACATCATCGTCGGCGGGAACACAGGGGGGGACTCGGCAACCCAACGGAAAAAATGGGCTCAGTCCCTATACGTTGGTGAGGTGACCCACGCCCCCCCTCAGCCGAAGCGGCGGCATGTGGAAGCTATCACTTTCACTGACAAGGACCTCCCCTTCGGCCCCTTGCCCCACAGGGACGCCCTCGTCGTCAAATGCGAGATTGGCAACAACATCATCCACCGCAACTACATCGACACTGGCAGCTCTGTCAATGTGATGTACGTTGACACCTTCAGACAACTGAAATTGAAGAAGTCCGAGCTCCGGCCGATACGGACTCCGTTATCCGGCTTCACCGGGGACTCTATCGACGCCGAGGGCACGATAGTGCTTCCCGTTGTGGTCGGTGACGGTACCTATCAGGCGAAGATTGACATGGAGTTCGTGGTTGTCAACCTGGACAGCGCCCACAACATGATCTGGGGCCGACCGGCCTTGGAGGACCTTGAGGCCATCATCTCCATGAAACATCTATGCCTCAAGTTCCCCACCAAGGACGGCGTCGGCTACGCCAGAGGAAACCAGAAGATAGCCCGAGCTTGCTACCTGAAGCTCACAAGAAAGATCAATGAGGCCGAGGAGCGGATAGACACTATCACCACCGCCTCGGCCGAAGAAGACACACCAAAGGCCGAACCGGTCGGAGACGTGGAAGAGGTTCCGTTGGACATCTCCCGGCCGGAACGCATGCTAAAGATCGGGACACAGCTCCCCCAACAGATCCGAAGGGACATCCTCTCTGTCCTGAGAGCGTACGCCATCGTCTTCGCATGGGGACCAGAGGACATGCCGGGCATCAGCCCAAAAGTGGTCACGCATCGGCTCTCGGTGAACCCGGCCTCCTACCCCATCAAACAAAAGAAACGCTACCTCTCGGCTGACAGGAGGGAATTCGTCAAGGCCGAAGTGGCCATGCTGCTCTCCATTAAGCACATAAAAGAGGTGAAGTACCCCACGTGGTTGGCTAACGTCGTCCTCGCACCAAAGCCGCCCACGTTCAGAATGTGTGTTGATTACACTGACCTGAACAAGGCGTGCCCGATGGACCCATTCCCTCTCCCCAACATTGATCAGTTGGTGGATGAGACGGCGGGGTGCGAGTTGATGTCGTTCCTCGACGCGTTCAGAGGGTACCACCAGATATCCATGCACGAAGATGACGCGGAGAAGACTGCTTTTATGACCCCAGAGGGAATCTTTTGCTACCTCGTCATGGCCTTTGGGCTCAAGAACTCCGGCGCCACCTACACAAGGATGGTAGCCCGGATTTTTAGAGCAGTCTTAGGTCGGACGATGGAAGCATACGTCGACGATATGATCGTCAAGAGCAAACAATCCACAACCCATGCTGACGACCTCCGGGGCATCTTTGAGATCATGAAAAGGTACAACCTCCGGCTCAACCCGAAGAAGTGCACCTTCGGCGTCCAGGGAGGTAAATTCTTGGGGTACCTGGTCAGCCGAAGGGGCATCGAGGTGAACCCGGAGAAAATACAAGCCATCATCAATATGGAGCCGCCCTGCAACATAAAGGAGGTGCAACGGCTGACGGGACGCCTCGCGGCCCTGAACCGTTTCCTCTCAAAATCCGCTGAGAAGTCTCTCCCCTTTTTTCAAGTGATGAGGAAGGCCACCAGCTTCAAATGGACGACGGAGTGCCAGCAAGCCTTTGAAGAGCTGAAACAATATCTCGCCTCCCCACCCGTCCTATCCAAACCCCAACCCGGCGAGACTCTATTCCTTTACTTAGGAGTGAGCACGTCGGCCATCAGCTCCGTACTCATCAGGGAGGATGACGGGGTACAAAAAGCAATATTTTACGTCAGCAAGACGTTGCGGGAGGCTGAGCTCAGGTACTCCCCCATTGAGAAGACGGTGCTGGCCATCGTCCACACGGTGAAAAAACTTGGGCACTACTTCCAGGCTCACCCCGTCCACGTCCTCACCCATCAGCCGTTGGGCGCCCTCATGAGGAGCCCAACCAGCTCTCCAAGGATGATCAAATGGGCGATATTCCTAAGCCAGTACCAGATAGAGATCAAGCCGAGGCCATCCATCAAAGGACAAGCCTTAGCTGAC